TCGTCACGATCAGTTGTCATTAAATTTAACAGTTACAATGCACCTTTCTGTTTTGAAACATATTCTCAACTAGGCCATCAGTATCCAGAAATCATAGGTTTTCCCATAAACCCATGTTGACTGTGTGTTCTCCGAACGCACTGGGTGGTTAGCCTTTGATAAGAGGATCCACAAGTACTTGCTTGGTACTCATATGCTCAATGCTTTTAAAATGATTCTGGATTTTCCCCTTTACAACATATAACTCAATGTTAATGTGTTTGGCAGCACACTTGACCTGTTGTCTTAGGAGTTAACTACTTTAAATGGTTATTGCTGTTGACTACCATTGTTAAATCCGGGTACTAATTCCCTTAATCTCCTTTTGTCTGTTCCTTAAGCCTCATGTCAAGCTATATTATGGTATGCATCACTGATGACACAACAACAGTTTCTTTGGAGCCTTTCCATAATAATACTCCAACTGTGAGTGTTAGCAACTATTGTGGATTTCACTGCACATCTCGCCAAGACTTAACATTTGTACCCTCAACTATTTGAGAGTACTTGTTCTTTCTTACCCAGCATGAGGTCTGTGACACTTTACAAAATTGCAAGACATTCTCAACTCCATTCCAATGATCTATATATAGACTGGACTTCTACCAAAATATCCTGGATACGTAAACTACGTCAGGGTAAGTTCTTACTTGTACTTGTACACTCATCAAGCTTCCAACAGCTGAAGCATAGGGAACCATGTTCATTTGATCGATCTCATATCGGTTCCTGTAACACTTAAAGTTACCAAATCTATTACCCTTGACTATAGGAGCAGGCTTAGGTTTACTCACATGCATACTTTATTTCTTTAGAATCTTTTCTAAGTATGCCTTTGCGATAGTCCTAATACCCCATTTTCTTCTATCTCGGTGAATTTCGATTTCTAGAACCAATGACGCTTCACCAAGATCATTTATATTGAAACTTGAGGACAAAACTTCTTCTCCAATGATAGATTAACATCACTACTAGTGAGTAGAATGTCTTCTATTCATAGGATGTGAAAAATAAATTTCCATTCTTGAACTTCGCATAAACGTTATTGTCCTTCTCATTTTCTTTAAAAACACAAACTTTCTCATTGTTTCATCAACTTTAAATACTACTGTCTTGTGACTTCTTTTAACCCATAAATGGATTTCTACATGCGACATCCTATTCTTTTCTTCCATGACAAAACCTTTGGGTTGTGCCATGTAAACATTTTCATACAAATCCCCGTTGAGGAATGCCGTCTTTACATCCATCTGATGTAACTCTAAATCGTAATGTGTCAATAACACCATTATGATTCTAAAAGAATTCTTGTATGAGACTGGAGATAAAACTCTCATCGTAATCTATTCATTCTCTTTGCGTAAAGCCTTTTGCTACAAGTCATGCTTTATATCTTTCAACATTCTCTTTGAAGCCATATTTTGTCTTGTAGACCCTTTCACAGCCTAATGTTTTGGCTCCATTAGGAATTTCTTCTAAGTCCCAAACATCGTTGGTATTCATCAAATTTATTTCAACTCCCATAGCTTCTTGCCATTTAAACGAGTAAACGTTTCTCATTGTTTCTTCAAATGAGGTGGGATCACCCTCCATTTGAATTTCTTTACTAACATAGACTTCATAGTCATCTGAAAATTGGTATGCTAATTCTTTGAGACCTTCTGGGGCCTCAGCTACTGGCACTTTCATATGAGGCTGTTGTTGCACTTCATTGCCAAGAGGAAATTGATTCTACAGGCTCCTGTATCACAAGATCTTTGTTTATATTATTCATCTTCTTCGAAGAGCCGACAATAGGTGTTGTATAAGTCATACAATATCAACAGGTATTGAGAAATTCGTTGTTTTGAATTACTGAAGTGGGCACGTAGTTCCGCTTCTCTTCAAGTCTTAGGTCTCTACATACCTCTACATACCATGATCCCCAGATCTTTCTATCTTTTTTAAAGATATTGTATCTTTAAATATCTTATTTTGGGTTTAATCTGTTAAAACTTCATATGGTGCTTTAAGCACCACCTTAACATCTTTGAGGCTAACTACGCTATCTTCCTATCGGAACTTTAAAAGGTCTAGAAATTTAGTTTTTTCTTTGCTTAGGGGTATCATTGTTGTGACCGTTGTACTCCTCCAACGGTCGCATTTATCTTAATTAATCTTTATCTCACTCTTAATGAAGAGTTTCTTTCTTAATTGATCTTTATCTCACTCTTAATAAAGAGTATTTTTCTTAATTGATCTTAATATTCTCTCCCTCGAAATATGGCATGAACTTTACAGCTATAATTTCGAGAACTATTTAAAAAACTTATGAACGAGGAGACTCTTATAACTTACTTCATTCACATGATTATGTCATGTAAACAAAGTTATTTCTTGATCCGTTTAGGAGTACACTTTCCTTATTTCACTTTAAGAACTCAACGAGGTTTTTCATTAGCAGTACTTTTGCAAGTCACGCTTGCATCTTTTCTTATCTTTTGGTTAGTATTGACCATGACAATGTATTTCTATTGTGCCACAGTCAATACTAGGACGACATAAGAGCTACCCAAACTTCTCTCGCTATGCGGGATACAAAACATGTGAATTATCATAAAACTTCTCCCGCCATACAGGATGAACTAGCATAAGTATTATGCCAAACTTCTCCCCATGCGGGATAAATCTATATACAAATACGCATGCTTAATCCAATATTGGTCAAATTAGACATGCATGTTACTTATTGTAACTCTTATCATAAAAACATTCACTTATACTTCATTTTCCAATTAAATCTTTTTGTTGGTTCCAATTTAATCAGAAAATTAATAAACTAACAAAAAAATAGCCCTGAACTGGCTTGACTCTGGCCTTTTCATTCACATAGCCCAGCATTCAAGCCCGCTGGTATGTAGCCGAGTGATTTCATCGGTTAAATAAACAAGGTGCTGCTGCATCAATTCTACATCACCGTTGGGCAGAAAATAGAATTAATGCATAAAATTTATAAATCAACTTGAAATACATATAACTACTCTTCAAAATTAAATTCTCCAGTTGATTCGAATTTAATTAAAAGATAATCAACATCATTGCAGCAGAAACTTGATAACAAAATACATTCTATTAGCTCAGGAGGATTTCTTGGTCTTTATCTACTCTCTGAAAAATTGACCATCTTGGTGTAAAATTTATCAGAGATTTAAACTTCAACCTTAAACTCATTATAATATTGTTACCATCAACGTTGATCAGAAAATAACAATACTATAATTTAACATAAACAAAAACGGACTACTCTAATTTAAATTTTTTCGTTGGTTCCAATTTAATTAGAGGATTAACATAATCATAATTTACTAAATGTAACTGCTCTTCGAATTAAATTTTCCCGTTGGTTCGAATTTAATTGGAAGATAATCAATATTAAACTTTGCAGCGAAAACATGAGAAAGTTCTTTATCTACTTTTCAGAAGCATTTTACTTTATTAATCTACTCTCCGAAAAAATTATCTCATTGGTTCAAATTTTGACAGAGATTCAAAACTTGACAAAGTTCATCAAAACTGCTTCTGAAAATAATAAAACAAAACTCTGTGTTTACTATTCATTCGGCCCGGCCTGGCAAAAACAGTACGCGACCCAGCCCGCTGCAGCAGCGCGCGGCCCACTCGCGCACGCACGCAGCGCCTCCCCCGCGCCCAGGCCGCTACCTGGGCCTGGGCCAAGAATTCACTCGCTCGCCGAGGCTGAATTTGGTCCGCTCGCTCGGAGCCGTTGATCTTGATCGAACGGTCGAGCGACGATCTCAGCGGAAAAAAAATCGCCGCCGCGTCGGTTCGCCCAAACCCTAGTGTCATTTCCTTTTATGCTTTCTCTCTCTTCTTTCCTCAGCGCCGCAGCGGAGAAACGAGAGGCACATCAGAGTGGCGCCGCCGCCGGTCCCCTCGCCGATGAGCTCGCTCGCCCGAGGCTGAGCGCACCGCCATCGAGCGGTCTGGGCGACGGTGCCCTTGACTCTGCGCGTCTCCACTCCCCCAACCCTAACCCTAGCTAATCTTTGCCGCATACCACAGCCGCCGCACCCGAGGTCGACCGCCGCCGTGGTGCCCTTCGTCGGTGCATGCGTGCGGCCGGAGCCCCACGCGGCGCCGTCGAGCGGCACCGCGGTGGTGCTCTTTGCGTCTCCACACGCGCTCTTCCCTAAACCCTAGATCCCTTTCTCCTTTGTCAGTCCTCAAAGCAGCAGACACGGAAGAAGAAGGGTGACTCCGCTGCGGGTCCCCTTGCTAGAGCGCGCGCTCCCCAGTGGGTGAGCGTGCTGCCGTCGAGCGGTCCTGTGACGGTGCCCTCCGCCGGGGCTCGCGCGCACAGCGACGAGCGCGGCTCGACTGCTTCTTCCCACGCGTGGCGGTAGCGACGGCGGCAAGGAACCGGGTAGGTCCTCCCCTTTCTCCGTCCATCCATCTAGGCCGATTCATCTCCTTCTTGATTTCTTTTCACTTTTTTATCCCGATCTAGATCTACACACTCACTAGCAACGATGGCTCTGGTACCATTGATAGAACTTACTAGACCTCTACGTACAGATCTAGTGGTTAAAACTTAACTTAGATGGGATGATTTGCTGATGTACCTCACTAAACCATGCCGCGGCCGAGACGCCGGTGACGTAAGTAGCCAGAGCGGGTCCAGTGACGGCGGTGAAGGCCGGTGGAGCTTCCCGTCGCTCTTCCCGTCGCTCACAGCGCCCTCTCTAGATCGGACTAGGGTTAGACTCGGTGAGAAACTGGCGGCTGTAGTGAACCTCGTGTCTCGAGTCCCAGCTCCCACCTCCTTTACATAGCGCTGCGCGACGGGAGCCCACCCGCCAGGAGAGCGGCTGAGCGCCCTGATCATGGTTGGCCGTTGGGCCACGTTGGCGGAGATCGACATTACACAATCAACTCCCTTGTCAGAGAAGATCACCCCACTAATGGAGAACCATCCCATGACCGAGCACTTGCTGCAAGATCTCCAGAGCCTTAGAGATGAGTTCATGAACAAATTTGCCGGAGGACGGGCCACGGGAGAGCAAGTCAAGGTGTGGATGAAGCAGGTCCGGGAGATGGTCTACGACATAGAAGACTGGATTGATCTGAAGGAGGATTTCAGCGAATCGGATATGAAGCAAATTGAAGAATTCAAGGACGACATCCAGGAAGCTCGAAGCCGCTGCAAAAGGTACGGGCTTCTGAAGTTAGCCCCTACTTCTGATGCAGTAACTTGTTTATGCTGGACCTAGAGAAGTACCCGGCCGTAGATTGTTCTGGGAGGAGAAGCAGAAGCCTGTCCTCGTTGGTCTGAATCATTCAAAACCAGAGATTCTAAATCATCTGGAGAGCGAGCAGAAGGAGCTGAAGGTGGTTTCCATACACGGAAGGGGAGGCCATGGCAAGACTGTTCTTGCTAAGGAGATATATGGAGACATCTGTATTAAAGGGCAGTTCGAGTGCAAAGCTTTTGTTTCTGTCAGTCGGAACTCATCGACGAGGACCACACTAATCGAAATACTCCGCCAAGTGAAGTCGGAGGTGGATGCTTGACAATCCTGGAGCAGCAACGACGAACAAATCAATGAAATCATCACTGAACTTTGGGGATTCTTACGCACCAAGAGGTACTTTTTCGAGTTAAAATATTTTTACCTCTGTTAGTTTCGTCTAGCATGCTGAATTAATATAGCTTGTGCAATAGCATCACAAAATTCGAATATATGCAACTTTTGTTATACAATTCTAACTCTTATTAAAATACAGCTAATCTGATGCAAAAAGAGTCAATCTATATGTTCTTTAATTTCAGATGAGTGTTTATGGTTGCTGTTTGGTTTTGTTCTCTAGTTTTGGAAAATGTTGGACATAGATATCCTTGATGTATTTATACCTTATAGTCTTATACACATGTATAACTTTTCTTTTTGACCCATTCTTCTTAAATCTCTTTGGAATGCAATATATATGTGCGTCCGGTTATGTTCTGATGGATGGACAATGCAGTACCAGACTTCCTATACCTCTCTTTCACCTCCTGCCCCTTGGGCTTGTTTATGGCAATAATGATATAACTAAATCTTTTCCCAGCAAAAAAAAAAATGTAACTGATGTTTTTCCTTGCTAATCTGGCTTTTCCCTTTGATGAGATGAGAATAGGTTGGGAAACCTTGCATGGAATTTTATTTCAGATAGATAGCAAATCAAAACTAATAACTTGCTGAAACCTAAGGAGGCTTTTATACGTGTGCCATTAAAAAAGTTTATAATTACACATAAGTTATTAAAAAAGTTGACCGCAGACAGGTGCCACTGCTTTAAATTTCTTTCCCTTACACGTCATTCCGTCCGTGTTCTTCGCCGTTTGGTAGCCTCAAATGTGGGACCCGCCAATAAAATTGTCCATATTGCCCTTAGGACTGAGGTGGCGGCCACACCACCAGCGGAGCGGAGCGGACCATCACCAGTCACCACCACCTCTCCCTCGCTCTCTGCGCTGGCGCCTGGCGGCCCGAGTGCCGCGTGAGCTCGGCCTCGGCCCTCGGAGGAGCTGACCCCGCGGCCGGCGGCGGCGACGAGCGATGCGGGTGAGTGCGTTTCCTACCTGTTTCTCCGAGGCCGGGGCGCGGCGGTTTCGAGGCCGTCCCGAGCGAGACGCGGCTCGATCTGCTCTGCGCGCTCAGTCGTGTTATTTTTTCTTTTCTTTTTTTGCGGGGCAAAGCCGCGATTTTGGGGCTGAGAGCTGAAGGCCTTGCTGTTTTGCTTTTCCTCGCCGCAGATTCGGCAGCCGTGCGCGGAATGCCCGTGGAGGGAGCGAGGGAGGGAGGGCGCAGCTGACCTGAGCTGAGGCCGCGAGATTCGGGAGCCTCGCTTGCGGCGGGCTTGGAGATTCGGGGCGGAGGTGGGGGGGAGCGAGTGGTCTGCGGGCGGCGGCGGAGGTCTCGGTCTCGCCGGGTTCGGCAGTGTGAGGTACCTCAGCGCGATTGCCGCCGCCGGGTGCAGCGGCGGCGTCGACGGCGATGCCAAGTACGACTCGTACAAGGCGCCGGGGCTGCGGGGCGCGTTGCTGGAGGCGGCGCACGTCTCCTGCCTCGAGGATCGGTACGCGCTGGGCCCGCAGCTGGGGTTGGGCCAGTTCGGCGTGATCCGCTCCTGCTCCGACCTCGTCACCGGCGAGGCGCTTGCCTGCAAGTCCATCGCCAAGGGCCGCCTCCTGCCCCCCGACGACGTGCGCGTCGTGAAGCTCGAGATCGAGGTCATGGCGCGCCTCGCGGGCCACCCAAACGTCGTCGACCTCAAGGCCGTGTACGAGGACCGCGACTCCTTGCACCTCGTCATGGAGCTCTGCGCCGGCGGGGAGCTCTTCCACCGCCTCGAGGAGCGCGGATGCTTCTCCGAGCACGAGGCCGCCGTGCTGTTCCAATACCTTATGGAGGTCGTCGCGCATTGCCACAGCAAAGGGATCGTGCACCGAGACCTCAAGCCCGAGAACATCCTCCTCGTCAGCAAGTCGCCCTCGTCGCCGATCAAGCTCGCTGACTTTGGACTCGCTACCTACATCCAGCCTGGTACGGTTCGTGTCTGGTCAATGATTCAATTCTATGGAAGACACACTTAGTCAATGCTACTCTGTCTTTGGGGGCTCAAATCAGAATCTGATGATGTTGGGTTTGGTCAGGTCAACACAGTCTCCTCAGTCCTAAGGGCAATATGGACAATTTTATTGGCGGGTCCCACCTGTAAGGGCTACCAAACGGCGAAAACCCAACAGAACACGGACGGAATGGCTTGTAAGGCAAAGAAGTTTAGAGCAGTGGCACCTGTCTGCGGTCAACTTTTTTAATGGCTTGTGTGTAATTATAAACTTTTTTAATGGCACACATGTAAAAACCTCAAACCTAATCTGTTTTGTAGACAAATTGTTAGCTGGTATTATTTAAGTTCATAAAAAAATATGCTATACTGTATGGGTATTTTTAAGTAGCTCTTAATCTTGGTGCCTAGTTAATTAAGTTTTACCGTCAAATGCCAGGTATTTCATCTGCATCGATGACATCCGGAGTACTCAGGATTCAGATGTTATTATTTGTGCTTTGCCTGATAATGATCTTGGAAGTCGGATATTGACAACAACGCGCATGGAGGATATTGCCATATCATGCTCTAGACGTCCCGATGATGTTGTTTATGAGATGATCCCTCTTGATGAGACTGATTCCAAAAGCTTATTTTGCAATAGTGTATATGTTCAAGAAGAAGAATGGCCAGATCATTTCAAAGAATCTTCGAAGAAAATGTTTGAAGTGTGTGGTGGCCTGCCATTGGCCATAATTGCTACAGCAGGTTTTTTAGGGAGGACATCTGCCGAACTGTCGTTGCAGTCAGAAAAGCTTAACAAAACAATTTTATCAGAATCCGATCAATTTTATTCTGAGTCACAAGCAATGAGAAAGATACTGGACATCAGTTTTGCTGATCTACCTCTGCCTCTGAAGTCTTGCTTCTTGTACTTGACAAGTTCAGGAAATTATGACATCATCAAGAAGGATCGTCTGGTAAGAAGATGGGTAGCTGAAGGACTTATCCCTGAAAGGCATGGAAAGAGTTCATGGGAAACAGGGGAGAGCTACTTTGATGAGCTTATCAGTAGGAGGCTGATCCAACCGGCCTTTGATGGCAATGATGATCAGCCAATTGGTTGCACTGTTCATGGTGTTGTCTTTGATTTCTTGGAGTCCTTGTCATCCGAAGAAAACTTTATTACACCAGGTGAAGAGTTGAAGTCTGGACTATTTCCTTGTGAAACGGTTCGGCGAGTCAGTCTCGACTGTGGTGATGAAGACGAAGGTGACACTGACACCTTGATCTCAAACACATTGTCTTTTCGAGCAGAAGAGTTTGGTGTCCTCAAGCTGTGCTGAAGAAGACGACGACGATGCAATCTTTTTGCAATTATCTAGGGTGTGGTCCCTTGCATTTTCTGGTGATGCTGGAAGGAGGATCCCTGATCTTTCTGCCTTCAAACATTTGCGGTTGCTGGATCTTGAGGATACCAAGGGCTTGGAGAACAAACGATTGGAAGGCATTGGACATTTGTCTCTGCTGAGGTACTTAGGACTTGGTGGGACTGATGTCACCAAGCTGCCCCGACAAATCATGGAACTTGAGCAATTGGCTACCCTGGAATTAAGGCGAACAAGAGTGAGAAGATTACCAGTACTGTGTAGAGACACAAAGCTGGTATCTCTGCTTGCCGATGAATTGGCACTAACGCCGAGAAATGAGGAGAATGCAAAATTTGGAGGAACTATCAAAAGTCCTTATGGGTCCTGATGGGTCACTTGCTTCGGAACTAGCAGGGCATGTTAATAAGTTGGGACCTTTGAGGATGCTTGGGATAAGAGTTAGTCATATGCAGCGTCATAGCGCAGCTGATCGACAGGGAGTGATGCGTTTGCTTGAGGAGCTGAGGAAATCAAACCTGCAGTCCCTTTTACTTGATAATTACCCTCATCCTCTGCTTGACTTACTGGTTGATTCACCAGCCCACAACCTGCGAAAATTTGAGCTGAGAATACACGGCTGCCTCCCGCAGGTTCCACAGGAGATAGCATCTCTCATAGCCGTCACGCACCTGCATATCAATGTTGAAGCAGTAGAAGCACATGGTGTCCATGCCCTGGGGAGCTTGCCTAACTTGGTCGTCCTGAGACTAGATTTGAATAGCAGTCCAAGCATGACCGTGAGTAGCAATGATGGCTTTCAGTGCCTCAAGTCATTATGGTGTAACAGTCAGTATGGTGGTGGGAAGGGCATGCAGTTTGAAGCTGGAGCCATGCCACAGCTCCGAAGGCTTCGGCTAGAACTCGATGCCCAGGGAACAAGGTCCAAACATGATGATTTCGATATCGGCATCCAGCATCTACCTTCTCTCGTGCAGGTCCATGCAACCATTGACTGGACGAATACTGCTTTAACGGCTTCAGAGGTTGAGGCCGCTGAGAACCAGATCAGAGAACAAGTATCTCGGAGCCCCAACAATCCGGTACTGGAATTGAACAGAAGACGGCAGCGGTATATTGCCAAGCCATCGGAGGAGTTGGTGATCACTGTCAACAGCCTTCAGGAGTGGAGTAAACAGATCAACCCCAGAAAGCTGGTGGTGGTTCATTTCTCCGCGGGGTGGTGCAGAGCATCCCGCAAGATCACTCCTGTCTTTGCTGATCTAGCCAAGAAGTTCCAGAATGTTGTTTTCTTGAAGGTCGATGTCGATGTTGATGAAATGGAGACTGTTGCTAAGGAATTCAGTGTTAAGGGCGTGCCAACCTTCCTATTCATGAAGGGGGGCTCCGTTAAGGACAGGGTTGTTGGCGCAGGTTGACCTTATGTTCTAGCCGTCTTCTGCTACTCGGTTCTAGAAACCAGTGGCATATACTAAAGTACTCCCTCTGTCCATATTTATTTCTTGCTATGATTTATGTGCCGGTCAAACTTTCTAAAGTTTGACTACATTTGTAGAAAATACTAGCAACATTTGTATCTCTAAATAGACTCGATGATCTACTAATTATGTGCCATAAGTATTAATACTTTTTTATATATTTAGTTAAAGTTGAGTATATTTGAGTTCTTGAGAGGTGAGAACGATGGTTAAAAAGGGGTGGTGTGAGTACTTCGTGCCCTTAGGAGGCATCACAAGGCTACGACTACCGGAAGCAAAAACATGAAAATATATTCAGCCTACAACTAACGGACAGCAAAAACATAAAAATATATTCGACGATCTATCTAAAAATACTAATTATGTGCTATAAATATTAATATTTTTTGTATATATTTAGTCAATGCTAAAATTGTTTGATCGAGAAGCGAGAATAATATTTATTTTGGGACAAAGGGAGTACATCAAATTAACAAATTGGCAAAATTTGGTGTCACCGTAGTATCTGCTAAATCCAGGCATTCAGGAGCTTGAGACCAGCGTCCAAAGTTGAGCTCATTGGAAGCAGAATGTTTCTTTGACCGAAAAGAAATCTAAAGAACCATGACCGTTTCTTTGATGTCTTGGCAGCGGACGATATATATATTTTTAATTAACCAAAAAGAAATCTGAAAAACTAAGAGGACGTGGAATGCTGGGAGATGAACGCAAACGGTATCGGTATGTGTAGGGTTCACGTATCGACAGTAAAACCAGATGGACACAAATTGCACTGGAACACGTTGCACAAACGGGACCACGTGCAGCTCAAACAAAAGGTACCAAAGCCGACCTGTCAAGCACGAGGGGATAGAGCAAGAAACCGTTTGCTCTTTAGGGAATTGCTAGTCCGATTTGTCATATTGTCACACAATCATCATCATTATCAATATACAAGTACCCTAGCAAGGGTACATGATTCTTCATTCTTAACGTAAGAACTATCAACTTTTCCCACAAAATTTTTAGAACATGCAGCCATTAAAATTTATCAAACTATAACGAAAGCATCAGAAAAGGTCTGGTGAAACCACATTCAACTCCGAGTTTTGCTAAGATTCACTCACAATATATGAACACGTGGCATATCTGTGCTTGCAAGTTGCAACGTAACATTTCCTATCCATTCACGGCTCAATATACAGGTCCATGCACATGCATCGCAAAGGAGAAGATACAGGTCGATCGGTTCATTTCTTTTCGGTCGTGTGGCTCCAAGAACTGTCGATTTGTGTACAGGACAGGCCAGCTGATATGCAAGCGTAGTTGGGGATAAGTGTTTATCTGACTTCTCGTTTACAGGTCTCACTGGTCCCGGTCACGATCACGATAGATTAGCTGTGGCGTCCACTTGAAGTGCAGGTTCAGTTTTCCCGATTTGGCACCTTGCACGACAAAGGTATCTTGGAATTCACCTTCAAGTATAACTCTTGTGAGCGTCAAGATGCACCTCCCTATGTAATCCTGCAACGTAATAAATAGGTAACATTAGCACACGAATACAGAACCAAACACTAGGTTTGAGTTCCAAGGTGCCTGCCCTGTTCGTTTCGCTAAAAAGTCAGGCTGAAAAGTACTGTTCGCTGATTTGTTGTGAGAGAAAAACACTATACCATGGCTGATAAGCCAGGCTGATAAGTTCAAGCGAAAAGGGCAACTCAGCAACTTTACATTCACGGATACAACGAGCACATCGAAGCAGCAAATGCGATGAGAAAAATCAGAAACAATAACTATCGGTCACAAAGCAGTGAAAAAGTAAAAACAAGAGGGCTACACATTACTGAAACTGCATAAGCAGCAATAAACATATCAAGTAGCCTCTCCCACAGTTTTTCTCTGACTTGTTAAACCAGAATGTTTATCTGGTCGAGACAACAAAAAACAAACACCCTTATAAAGAATAACACAGGGACAAATTGGCACAAATGTTGTGAAGCCATAAAGAATCAAGGTAGGGAATTTTAGATTTCAAATGAACAAACAATATGCAAGAGACAGAATGCACCTTTCCAAATGTATCATGGTCCCATACTTCCACCATGAGCAAATCATGCAGTGCATCTTCTACCATGAAATCAAATGTCTGGTTCCATATTGGGTTTAGCGTGTCTGTCACAACCTGCAATAATACTGAATTATGAGAGCCTTGAAAAAGTATATGGCCGTACAGAACTCTGAGATTGGGAAAGATAATAACCCTTGTCTTCCTTTTGGTTTCTCCCTTCTTTAAGTACAGGACCACAAATGGGTCAGCCTTGCCACCAATGTCCATAGGTGGCAAGTCCTCTGCAGATATGACCGTTACCGAAAGGACTCCTCTCGTAATAACATTTTTCCTCTGATTAACATCATATCCATTAGACTCGGTTTTGAGAACCTTCTCCAATGAAGTTAGTTGAATCTGGCTAGCAAAAGGGTTAGGAACCCCTTCATGCTTAGCGTAAGGGTAGTAGAGGAGCTCCAGGTGAACCTGAGGAACAAGGAAACAAGCAAAATCATTAACTTCCCTGCAAGAAAAAATGGAGGACCACTGTTACATAAATGTATATGATCCAAGTTTTATTTGAATTTCAATAAGAATACAGGAAAAAGAAAGAACACATTATTTGAAGTTCACAGAGCAAAAAAGTACTTTCCTTCTATAACAATGGCTAGAAGCCCTGATGTAATTGCTTATTTTCTTCCTTTCCTCTTTTGTGTCGAACTTTTTTTGCCTTTTTATTAATAAATGCACAGTAGGGGGAAACCCCTCCTGTTTCCATTAAAAAAACTGAAATGTCACTCGGGGTGTCATGTGGGTCAGTATATACAGCTCGAAAGGCAGGTGTTGCATGTGTAGGAGCTGGCCACAGGCACCACGGATGCTAAGAGATAAGTTTTGCAATTGATACATGCTTGGGATACATGTCATTAGCTACAAGTTATACTCTATTTACCCTCAATCCAACACAGATATATCAAAAAGTGGTGGTGCTGCTAGGTGAACACACATGGTTATATGGAGCTCCACGTTACTTGTCATTATCTACTGAGGTAGATTTGGACCTCAGGCAGTACTCTTAACATGTTTAGGGACGCAAATAAATCTTAGTAGTTTAGGGACCTAGATGACATCAAGAGACAAGTTTTATTGACCACCACTTTACTCTTTAGATGGAGCCATCTTTTGTTTCCCCCCCAAAAAAAAGATGGAGTGTCTTTTGAGTTGCATGCTAACTTTTTTTTTGTAGCTGCTCTTGTTTTTTTAGTTCTCTGGCCTCTCTCCGGCCTCGTTTTCTTGCCTGTTTAGTTTCCCCTTCTTGTGTTCTTTGTACAACTGTACATTTGTTTTGCTTTCTTTTAATAAAATCCTAACAGTGGGGGCCTCCCCTGCTGTATTTATTTATTTTTAAATAAAAAATAGTTAATAATTTGAAACCTATCATAGTTTAGCATATATGCTTTATCACTTCGTTATCATGAGCATGAGACAAATGTGAACCATGGTAGTTTGCACCAAAACGCTGCTCCACATGTCCATTTGCATTTAGTAATGCTTCCAGTCAACTCCTATGTATAGAGGTCACTATGTTGTTACACACTGTTGCATATCGTTTGCTCAACCTTCTTCCAAAAAGTAGGCTGGTGGGGAAAGACCACCCCCATGGTTTTCTATAGACAGCGAAGACCGCAGCCATACCAGCCTAGAAAACACCCGAACACACCGGCCACCACCTCCTGCTGGTTCCACCGACACACTGTCTGGAGGTTCGCCGCCGCCTACTGGTTCACCAGGCAGGCCGTCATCTTTCTGCTCCTCTGCCGCGCCACACTGGTCTATTGTGATAATATCAGTGTCGTATACATGTCCAGCAATCCAGTTAAACATCAGCGTACCAAGCATATTGAGATTGATCTCCATTTCGTTTGTGAGCGTGTGGCTGTTGGTGATGTCTGCGTCCTGCAGGCTCCATCCTCCTCGCAGTATGCTGACATTTTCACCAAAGTCTTGCCGTCTTCTGTGTTCACTGAGTTCAGATCCAGTCTCAACATCTGAGGTTCCATTGTTTCGACTGCAGGGGCGTGTCGAACGACCTATACTGGGCCTTGCGGCCTAGGTCTAGTCAGCCAGCCTTTTCAGGCTTTGTGTCTTGGACTCCCAAGTCCACGCACTTATTGTATTTGGTATGGGATATCAGAGGACGGTTCTGTTTCTACAAGCCGTCCCTATCCCTACCTATATATACATGTTCTATGTACCTCTATAATCTACTAATTCTTGCCACATACCTTCGCTTTCAGTTTGACTAGACTAGTATGTTATCATCGTTTCAACTAAAATATTTCTCTAGTTCTGAAAACAAAAGCTTATTAAAGGTGAATTAGGAGCAGTATTGTGTTGTAAATCTTACGGCAAATCATGATTGTGCCTAGCATATCCATTCATTCACAACTATAACTAGCAAATGCAATGGAATTAAAATGCCAGAGCCAATACTACGGTTTAACCACATATTAGATAACCTGTAATACTGTATCTAAACCTGGAAAAGACATGCGAAGTGCATCAACTGACCTGACCACGAGGTTTCTTGTCTCGTTGAATTTCCAGGTCCTTCACAAGATCTAACCATAAATCCTTCACTTTTCCTGGCTGTAGATCAGCTAAGTCTACTCGAGCACAGCCAATGATCTCTGATGCTTGGAGTCCTTCATCATCATAAATTTTTACAGTCAAGTGCTGCGTAGATATGTCCTCAACCACAAATTCATAGTGCTCATTCCAGATGGGGTTCAAATCATTGTTCTGCAGAAGAACAAAGTTAGGATGACATTCATCTACCTTAAACAAGAGAAAGCACTTACAATTGTTTTGCTTTTCTTTGTTTTCTCACGCAATGGACGTATGTATAGCACTGCAAAAGGGTCTGACTTTCCCACAAGGTCCTTGTTCTTTAGGTCCCTAGCTTCCACCAGTTTAGCTTCTAATACCCCAGTAGGTTTCAACTCCAAGTCACTGAAAGAACAGGCATACTCAACAATCCAATGACAAACATACATACTTCCAGATTATGTGTGCAGTGAGTTACCTATAGTCTCCAGGTACAATGGGAACAATTATGCGATTCGGCCATGTCAGTGTATCCTCGATTGTATCACGTATCGTCCCCTGAATTGTTCAATAAATGTAATGCAACAGGTGCAGAAGTACATACTAAAATAAAGTGGATGATGTATTAAAAAACCTCAATTGCATCAGAAATTCCTGGAATAGCAGTCATTTCGCCACCAATAACCTTGAGGGTCAATTCCACCTTGCTCTGCAGTCAAACTAATTAAATCATGCAATCTACTAGAGTCATTTCGAGGAGCATTAGATCTGAAACAAAATTGTGATACCTTCTCCCTTAAAGAACAACAAACAGCTCCAAAACAGGGGAATTCAGCCACCAGAGGTTTGAATACGAGCCGAAGTACTCCTGTGAATCCAATATTTTTCACCTAACATGGATAAAAAACAAACATATACTTGGTACTCTCTATAATTACACCATGATCAAAAAAATTTATATCCTACTGCACAACATCAAGCATAGTTCAACTGCTCCAAAAATTGTGCAACATTTTCCCTTCCATGATCCATGTGTAAGCAATAGGGATTGTGTGGAAATAGTAGATTGATTGATTAGATCACAGAGTACATGTATGTATAGGCCACAGTCGATCTTGGGTCTATAGAAACAATACCAACCAAGAATGCCTCTCCTATTCCTAATCAATCAAGGGCTGACCGGCTATGCTTAGGATTACACGGCCCAAGGCCCAAGCTCGATACTAACACACAGGTATATACATGTATGTCTAAAGGAATGCACACCACATGCACATCAATTACAACAAAGACAACAAAGCCTTTTAGCCTCCAGCGTGTTGGAGTAGGCTAGAGATGAAACCAAACAAGAGCCAACAACAACAACAACAACAAAGCCTTTAAGTCCCAAACAAGTTGGGGTAGACTAGAGTTGAAACCCAGCAGAAGCAATCAAGGTTCAGGCACGTGAATAGCTGTTTTCCAAGCACTCCTATCTTAGGCTAAGTCTTTGGGTATATTCCATCATTTCAAGTCTCCTTTTATTACCTCTACCCAAGTCAACTTCGGTCTTCCTCTGCCTCTCTTCACGTTACTATCCTGGCTTAGGATTCCACTACGCACCGGTGCCTCTGGAGGTCTCCGTTGGACATGTCCAAACCATCTCAACCGGTGTTGGACAAGCTTTTCTTCAATTGGTGCTACCCCTAATCTATCACGTATATCATCGTTCCGATCTTGATCCCTTCTTGTATGACCGCAAATCCAACGCAACATACGCATTTCTGCGACACTTATCTGTTGAACATGTCATCTTTTCGTAGGCCAACATTCTGCACCATACAACATAGCAGGTCTAATCGTCGTCCTATAAAACTTGCCTTTTAGCTTCTGTGGTATCCTTTTGTCACATAGGACACCAGATGTTTGACGCCACTTCATCCACCCTGCTTTGATTCTATGGCTAACATCTTCATCAATATCCCCGTCTCTCTGTAGCATTGATCCTAAATATCGAAAGGTATCCTTCCTAGGCACTACTTGACCTTCCAAACTAATATCTTCCTCCTCCCGAGTAGTAGTGCCGAAGTCACATCTCATATACTCAGTTTTAGTTCTACTTAGTCTAAAACCTTTGGACTCCAAAGTCTCCCGCCATAACTCCAGTTTCTGATTCACTCCTGTCCGGCTTTCATCAACTAGCACTACATCGTCCGCTAAAAGCATACACCAAGGGATGTCCTTTTGTATGTCCCTTGTGACCTCATCCATCACTAAGGCAAACAGATAAGGGCTCAAAGCTGACCCTTGATGTAGTCCTATCCTAATCGGGAAGTCATCCGTGTCTCCATCACTTGTTCGAACACTAGTCACAACATTGTTGTACATGTCCTTAATGAGCCCGACGTACTTCGTTGGGACTTTATGTTTGTCTAAAGCCCACCATATAACATTCCTTGGTATTTTATCATAAGCCTTCTCCAAGTCAATAAAAACCATGTGTAGGTCCTTCTTCTTCTCCCTATACCGCTCCATAACTTATCTTATTAAAAAAATGGCTTCCTTGGTTGACCTTCCGGGCATGAAACCAAATTGGTTCATAGAGACCCGCGTTATTGCTCTCAAGCGATGCTCGATAACTCTCTCGAATAGCTTCATAGTATGGCTCATCAACTTAATTCCCCGGTAATTAGTACAACTTTGAATATCCCCTTTATTCTTGTAGATCGGTACCAATATACTTCTCCACTCGTCAGACATCTTGTTCAATCGAAAAATATGGTTGAACAGCTTGGTTAGCTATACTATAGTTATGTCCCCGAGGCATCTCCACACCTCGATTGGGATACCATCCGGTCACATCGCCTTACCTCCTTTCATCCTTTTCAACGCCTCTCTGACCTCAGATTCTTGGATTCTCCGCACAAAGCGCCTATTGGTGTCATCAAAAGAGTCATCCAACTAAAATGTTGTGTCCGTATTCTCTCCATTGAACAATTAGTCAAAATACTCTTGCCATCGATGTCGGATCTCATCATCCTTCACCAAGAGATGCTCCCTTTCATCCTTAAAGCACTTAACTTGGTTGAAGTCCCTTGTCGAAACCAAACAAGAGCCACGAACAAAAAAAAAATTGTTTCATATCTGGAACAATTATTGCACTGAATATGTTTCCAGTTCTTCAAATTTGCTAGGATTGAGTATAACCGTTTCATGCTTTTTTGACACAAAACTGTTGGTCTGTGGCAAAAAATAGAAACCAGTAAAGATGTAGCCGTTATGTGGGCCCCCCGGCCCCATGTTTTAAACGTCACAAGAAGATAAAGGCAGACACATCAGCACGCTTACACGGTTCAGGCGACACGATGACTGAAGCTTTCCAAATGCTTTGTGTCGGAGACTAATACTAGGGTACCCGAAAAGGAGGGGCTAATGGTCATCAACATTAATTCATCCGAACAGTCAAGAGTGCGACTACGGCTCTAACCGACCCCCAGGCGCGCGGGCTCCGCCTTGACCGACCTCTGGGGAGCCTTTGGGGAAGGACTCCGCCTCGCCCGGTCTCTGGGGGAGGGCTCCGCCTCGCCCGACCCTTGGGTTTGCGCTCCGCCTCGCCCTGCCTCTGGGGAAGGCTCCGCCTCGCCCGACCCCCCAAGGAAGGCTCTCGCCTCGCCCGACCCCAAGGTGCGGGCTCACGCCTCACCCGACCCTTAGGTTTTGCGCCCGCCTCGCCCGACCCTTGGGGAGGAGGGCGCCGCCCGCCCGACCCTGGAGGTCGGGCTCCGCCTCGCCCGACCCCAAGGCCGCGAGCTCCTCCTAGCCCGACCCTTGGGATTGCGCTCTGCCTTGCCCGACCCCGAGGCCGCGGGCTCCGCCTCGCCCGGCCTCTGGGGGCGGGCTCCGTCTCGCCCGACCCCGAGGCCGCAGACTCGACGGAGACCCATGCCGCCGCCAACCACTCCAGGTCCAAGTGTATGGGCCTGGGTCAAAAGCTCTGACACCAGGGAGGAGACCGGCATGGCCCGATGTAACCCGCGGCCACGACGGGCCATACCTGAGGATTCACATCAGGCAGCGTCAGGCGTCGTGCGGTCTTTGTTTCGCTAACCTCCTCAGACGAACACCGACAGCGCTCGATTCACCACAACGTCCGCCAGGACGGAGTGGAGCGCTATGACCGGCAGACGACGCCTGCGCATGGCGCCAGTGACGGACAGGGCCGCGACGTGGAGCCGTCCCTGTTGACATCTACAGGATCGGCGGGACCCGCATGAAAGATAAGGACCTGGAGATCCTGAAGGCCTTTGGCTCTCTCTCGTTCTTCTCTTTCCCCTCCGCTGTAACCCGTGCTTTCCCTTGGCCTATAAAAGGGAAAGCAGGGCGCCCCACGAAGGGGATCGATTGAGGCCAGACCCGATCGAACCATCACGAACCCATTGAACCTTGAACCGACCAGAACATAACACAAACACATGGCTGAGCAGCAACCGAGCTCTCGGCACCCGTTCACTCTTTCCACCAGAGACTTGGGACCTGTCTCTCTCTCACCCGTTTGTAACCCCTACTACAAACTTTCAGTGCTAGTAACGCGAGCAGCAACGATGAACTGGACGTAGGGACATTCTGCCCGAACTAGTATAAACCTCGTGTCCTCTAAGCACACCATCCGAGCCAAACGCGCAATACTAGAAATTTACTCGTAGGTGGTTACTCGAAACACCGACACTTTGATTAGGAGAAATGTGGGATTGTTTCCTTATCAATTCATGTGTTTAATACTTTCAGTATTTGGTTTATAAGCCCTGCTTAAAAGGGGAGCATCAGTGAAGGAATGAGGCAAGCAAAAACTCGCTCCCTCTCCCTCTCCCTTCCCCTCTCTGTTACTGTCCCTGTCAGCTCCGGGAAGGCGAGGCAAGGTCCTCGCCGTCCCATTGAGAACCACATCCACCACCACCCACCTATAGCCAAGCACCAGGCACAACAGTTAGGCAACAAGTGTTTCGCTGACCTGCTGGCTCGCCGGGGTTTGCAACATCCTCCTTGCTGCCCATCGTGTGAAAGGTGAAACAATTAATCACCTTTAGTGGCATGTGTTTTCTCTTGGCAGTTTTGGTTTGGCTGCTACAAAGGGTGGGGCTCCAGAACCTCTCCCCTCAACTGGAGTCTTCCTTTGATGGCTGGTGATCTAGAATCAACCAAGGGGTGGTCAGACAGGTTCAGCAAGGTCAAAATTCCATTATAATTCTTGCAAGTTGGATCATTTGGAATCTATCGTAAGCGCTGTGTTTTTTTATGGGACTTCACATCTTGAGAGCATCACGCTATTGGCGGTTGAAGAGATGAGATTATGGAGTTTGGCTGTTGGCCGGCTGTCACTCAGGTGTCTATCACCACACCCCTCACTCACACACAAACACACACAGAGGCTGGAGGTTGAAGAAAAGGAGATCAGAGCACGCACACACATATCAACACACGTGAAATGGAGCTGCTGAACTGAGGCTGCAGCTATGCCTCTAGTAGTTTTTAGTCAAAAGTACATGAGGTCATCTACAAACTCTACCAACTAAGGGCCATGCTGCCCATACTACTTGTGCTACCACTATGCTACCTGCTACTGTCCTAAAGACAAAAAAAAAATAAAAAATAAAACGGGTATTGCATTAAGAAGACCTTCTCACGCAGGTCAAGAAAACCCCCGAACCTCTGCCCCACCCATACACAGCGGCACCGTAGCCCATGTGAGAATGATCACAACCGTGGCCAAGCCTTAGACCTGTGCTTTAGCGTGGGACAGACGAGGGGATTTTTTTAACCCTAGCATGAAACTCAGACCATCTAACCAACTCAGCTAGAGGCCCTTTCGCAGTACTGTACTAAAGACAGGCAGCAATGAAAGAAAAGAAAGGAGCAGTCCCTGTTCCAATCCAATGACAAAAGAGAGATGAGAGAGCAGAAGATTATCTAACATTGGCAGGGACTAAGGGCATTGCTTATCTAATCGTCTTGTCTCTTCAGCTGACATTAAGGTGTTTTTCTCCTGGTCGTGGTAGTGTTTTGTGGTGTATCATGGGCAGTTTAGTTGTTTGAGAGCGAAGGGGTGTTGGTGTGTGACACGCAGATCTCCTGCATGTTCTAGAAAAAATAATAATAAGCACAGTGTTTAAGCTGCTGCTTCTTTGGGTTTAGACATTCAGAAATAGAAATACTACAAGTGAATTGTTAGGAAATAGTACAGCTACAAATTAGTTAAATCATACTGAGACTATAAGGCCTGCTTGTTTCAGCTTGCAGATTGTGAAAAGTGGCATGCAGATTATAACAATATACAAGCTGGGCGGAGAAGATTTTTGGATAGTAAACCAGATTACAGGGATTCATATACCTTTCTCTGCTTTAATTCAGCGTATAACTACAGCATATTACCTGTACAGGAAGAGAAATTCCAAGTGTTGTTTGGATGTCAAGTACTATATTGGGATTGCCATCCCATTGCAACTCGAGTTCCATGGTGATGGCAGAATCATCACTCTCCAAGATTGAAACACCTGAAAATACCATGTCATCAGTAAAAAAAAACTTGCCCGGTGGGAGAAAGACCGCCCCACGGTATTACACTAAGAAGGAGATTCTCAGTCTCCCGACCGAGAAAACCCCAAACCCCGCTGCACACCCGGACTAGCAGGCCGCAACCTGGGCCGGCGCTACGCACCGTTACCTTCCTTGGCCGGCGCCACGCACCGTTACCTTCAGGCCGGGACAACTGCCCCACAGGAGGTGCGGTGAGGGTTTTTTTTTACCCCCAGCTTGAAATTCGCTCCCACGGGAATTCGAACTCAGGACTTGGGGGTGCCGCCGGAAAGCTCTAGCCACCTGGACTAGAGTCCTTTGGCCATGTCATCAGTAATAAAAAAAAAAGGAAACTGAGGATTCTCTCCTGCTGCCTAAAATTATCATACAGACTTCAGAGAGACATCCGGACTGATCAACAGAACCAATAATCTAGCACAACTAGGCCATCAGTGGGATATTGGGATCACAAAAATAAGATTTAAGTATAAAACTTTGAAATACTTCTTTCCTCAAACGTGCAGGCGAGTTGCATGTCATTAAAGAAGGAATAGAAGTCAGAATATTTTAAAAAACAGACACACATGCCCACAAGATGTCAGTTCATTCACGCCACAAAAAAATAAAAGAAAGAAAGAAACAACCTAAGCCAAGTGCCAAGCTAGCAAGCAGTACTCAGCAACCAAACTCCTGACACAGTTCGTACCACTGTGTTCACCCTCGGGGCTGCACCATAAAAAACACAATCATAGAGATGCTTCTCTGCATTGCTTGCTGGCTTGTTTGATTACACAACACAAGCATGAGGAGAAACCCAAACAAACAGGGGAGATATACAGCACGTACATATGCAAGAAACCCCCTAAACTAGTAGGTAAACACCAGCAAGATATACACCTAACACCATCAATGAAGCTGTTCGCAAAGGTTCATGCAAGAATATGCCCAGATCTATTTAATATTGATAAGAAAACCTAATCATGAAACAATAGTTGGCCTAACTGATTGATGCCACCATCTGTAGAGTGATTGACCTGGTGTGTGTGTGCTTGAGGGTGGGGGAGGATGGGAGGGGTTGTTTTTTGACCTTCCCTTTGTATCTTATTTCTCTCTTAATGAAATGACACATGCTCTCCTACATTGTTCGATAAAATAAATAAATGTGATTAACAAATAATAATTGACCTAGGCATCCTTATATTTGTAAAGACGCAGAGTATGCCAATTATATTTACTATTGATTACGAAACCAGGAGTCTAGGGTCTGATTGGTTGCTTGCATTAGCCTTAGCCTACATTAGACATTTAGACCTTATGTAGCATAATCTAAGCCAGCATGCCGCATTTGATAAGATTGTGTTTGGTTGTTCACATTTTGTTGCATGTAGTCACTAGTTGAATCTCATGTTTCTACTTTCTAGTAGAGGTATGGGATGTGAGAATGTTTCATTTCTATGTGCGCATCAGCTTGTGCAAATCTGCATTGTCTAATACGACAGAATCTGGCGTACTAGCTAATGCAGCATTGGGCCTGTTTTGAGCACTGTGCAAACCTGCATAAGAGCGTATGCAGACAACCAACGAGCAAACTGCACTGCACAAGCCTGAGGAAACCAATAAGACCATTACTGCATACAGATTCACAGTTCAAAAAACAATTGAAAAATACAGGAAAGGACAAGGAAGATAATTTGTATCATAGTACATACAAAAAAGAGCACCACAAGTGTTGAGGCCATACCAGTAAACTGAGGGGCAATGGTACCAAGTGTCAACTTTGAGAAATGGAGGGAGGCCAAGATGAATGACTTGTACTGCTCAAAAACAGGCTCCACAGAAGTTTTAATCAACTCTGATGCAGCCTACAACCACCACATTTGACTCTCTTATTATTACTTCTACTACTGTTGATAACCAAATTCACTCAAGAGTAATAGTAGGAAGAGAGTTCAGCTAAAATCAGAAGTGTGGAGTACTGAAAGACCCTGTAAAAGCTAGTACCTCATTGACAAATGGCCAGATTTTTACCAACTCTTGATTCAGCCATTTAAGCTGTACATATCAAAAACAGTATCAGTACCAGCAGTATTGCACAACATAAAGGTTGGCTGCAAGAATAGGCAAAAACTCAACTTCTGCTTTTGTGTGAATGAAACCCATGATGGATAGAACTCAGGTGGGATGAGCTTCCTCAAATCCTGTACAGTCAACTTCGAGAAAGCTGCAGCTATAGCAGCCTGCAGAAACAAATCAGGCCAGGCATGAAAAATAGATGACAGGTTCCAAAACATGAAGTGGATCAGGATACTGGATAACAATACTCTATCGGTCCCCACATTACCGTTATATATTATAGGATTCGGAGAGATATAATTCCTACAACATTGGTACTAATTAGCAATAATGAGGTAAGAGCCCATAAGGTATTAATAAACCTACGCAAATCCAGGAATAGCATCACCCATTCACCCTAAATCGAATTGAACCAAACTAGCTCTCGCAACGAGAAATCGAAGGGGGTGGAATCGGGTCGTCGACACATACCAGCTCACGGCGCTGCTCGGCGCGGCTGTTCTCGAATCGCGCGAACGCCATCACGACGGCCACGCCCACCACCAGGCCCAGGAATGCACCGAATAGGAACGCCATGGCGCAGGCACGGGCGCAAGCGCCGCCCCCAAGTGTCGGCGGGGCGATGAGGAACTGAGGATCGCGGTGCTTCGCGAAGGGGATGGATTGCGCGCGGATGCCTGCGTGGGTTCAATTTAATCTGGATTGGAGAAGCATCCTTGTTCTACCGCCTCACGAATCGAATCTGATTTCATATTATTTTGTCATTCTCGAAGAAACCTATAGATGAGTGAGAACTGAGAAGGGGAAAAGCAGATTGGGGATTATATTTTTAAAAATGGCTTGATTAGTGGCAGGCAAGTCGGATGCGGCGTCTCCAAGCCAGCCAGGTGCAGAGCCGAGGCAGCAGGCACGCGGCACGCCTTGCTCGGCACGGCAGTCGGCAGGGAAAGGATGGATCATTTTCGTGGCAGCCTGGCAGGGTAGGGCCGTAGGGCTGGGCACACTGTCGGTGTCGGTGCTGGGACCATGGACAGAACTGCGGTCTGCGCTTCCACCACAGGTGCGGACGTGCGGCGTTTCTGTTTCAAAAAGCAAGATCCAGTCGTTGTATGGCTACATGTAGACACAAATTATTTCCAAATAATCTCCAAGGCTTCAACCTCCAGACGTAAATTAATGTTTTGAACGTTGCCACAGTTATCAAAACGATGTTTGAAGGCTCAAATTGAGGTGGCCCGTGTTTTCACGGCAATTGCTTCAGTTATTTTCTTGCTTATTATGGAAAAGGCACCGCTAGATTTGCTACACTATAATTTTTCAACTGTTTTTTTTTATTTGCTAGTGGACAAACACGTGCAACACACGTGTGTTTATGGTAAGTGACATTTTTTTTAAAAAAAAAGTTGTAGATTGTAGGATTCCTAAAGTAAGTATGATTTGTAATTTCTTTTGTTAATATAAATTATGTTATCATTTTTAAAGATTGTTCTAATTTTGACCATCGTTTTTTATAAAATTGTACATGTAGACAACATGAGATTTACGTTTTTAGATTCATTATCACAAATATACTTTCACAATATGTAGCTTACATGTTGTGAAATATGGATTTCTTAAAATTGATGCCCAAAAAAAAAAAAATAATTGACCTAGGACAGTTTTAATATAACATGTAAAAAAACGGAGTGGATAGTATCAAAAATACATTCAGACAAGAGAAGCGGTGCCAGAGTCTTTGGAGGAGAGGGAGACATGAAGAGGATGCATTGTACCAACTTTGATTTTTTTTATTTCTTGCAAAAATTATCGGGTGCACATGTGTGCTGTTTAGCGCGCACAATATTATGGGGGTACGACCCCGGATACCCACGGCAAACTACATGGGCTGCACTCCCAGGGGCGGTCCAGCCCACAAGACAAAGACCTATGGTGCACGGCATTGCTCGGCGTGCACCGCAAGACATCAATGGCGATATCCTGAAGATACTACGAGATCTGTTAGGATACGTTCGATCACATGATTCATGTAATATGTTATTACTTACCGGTTATCTCCTAGATCTAACCGACTTGTAACCCTACCCTCTAGACTATATAAGGCGGGCAGAGACCCCCTCAAAACACACGTAATATCATACGATCGCCAATACAAACCAACAGACCACAGGAGTATGGTATTACGTCGTGCTATGGCCCGAACATGTCTAACTCTTGTGTCTCTGTTGCCTTCTTGTTCTTGATTATGCGCACCTCTGTCGATCAATCTACCTTCGTGGGATACCCCTCGGAGGACTGCTGAGCATATTTTGTCGACAGTTGGCGCGCTAGGTAGGGGTGTGCGTGCTGTTTCTATGACGAACAAGATGGTACGTTTTGCAGGCTCTTCGTCCTCCCCAAAGCCCGGCCAGATCTTTACGGTCGGATCGATCTCCTGGGTCATCAACGCTGATGGAGACGGAGAGATCATCGAGCCGGTGCAGACCGATTCTGCGCCGACCACACCCGCACCTGCAACAGCAGATCCGATCTCAAAACCGCTTCTGAGGTCGTCTTCACCGACAATTTGTCGCCCGCTCCCCCACTATCCAAGGAAGCGGATCGACAACGATGATCTGACCGCATCCATCGATCAGGTTGGCCAGAAGCTCGTCGACTGCCTCTCCATCGTAGAATCGGCTCTGACCACTCTAGTTCAGCGCCGACCACCCTCCGATTCTGATCTATCGAAAGTTGATCAGGAAACTCCAGGGGTTACGGCCCTACCCTTTAGGCACACCAACATCGTCGCCTCCTATAAAGATGCCCTAAGGGGCAAATTCGTCGACTAGGTGGGAGACATCTATCCTCTCGCCGATCAGATCGTCGACCAGCTCTCGCCGACGGTCAACATGCTGCAAATCGGCCGACACCCCGAAGCATCCCTCCACACCATCCTGGAAGAAAATCTAGACTCCGAGTCCTAGGGCTTTACGGAGACTGTCGACGAAACCACCGCCGTCCAACCTCCTCTCCCTCCCTTTCGAGGAGGCGGGATCTTCAATGTCAGCGTCGACAGCCCTCCATGAGATGGAGAAACTGACGAGGACCACGCCGCTCATGTCAACAGGAACGCCAACCGTGCGCAGCGCCGAGCGAATGAGACCGCCATCGTGCTAGCCGAGGCTATCCGTAACGGAGAACAGCTTGACTTGCAAGGGAGTCCATGCCCACTCCGCCGCAACCTCGACGACAAATTCGTCCGTGTCGACAGCCACGATGTCTATAAGACCCCAAGCGCCAACTTGGTCGTGGCTGCTAATGAGCTTGCTTGGCTCGAGCAAACGCCAGAAGTTGCTAAGGTCGCCGCCATGCTTAAAGCGGCGCACTGCCAGGTCAACAAGATTTGCCAGGATCAGAGACCTTCCTACTCTACAAGCTCGATTCGTCGATCCACCGCGCCAAGATCCAATCACCACCCCAGCCGAAGTTGTTTCGCCGACCAATAGCGTGATGATGGACAACCCCTCCAGGGGGAGCTAGGGGAAACCGCATCGACTACCCTCGCCAACACGACCAAAAAGTCGACCAAGATGTTCGATCGCACATCAACAATCTCCGGGACGCATGACGTCATATCGACGGGTGCCGTTTCTCTCGCCATGAAGAAGAAGTACGTCGACATCAAGAATACAAGCAAGAATTTGGCAATCTGGACACTGCCCTCTAGCCACTTAATGCTGGCAATACCGCCGATCACGATGGTGATGATCCCGAAGGGCCCTCGAGCATTCACGAGGGCACTCCAAACACTCCAGTGGCCTCGTGGTTTCAAAATCACTAGGGTTGAACCCTACGAGGGGCGGATGAACCCCACACAGTGGCTTCAAGCTTATGCCACCACTATGCACGCTGCCGGGGGAGATATCAGTGTCATGGCAAACTATCTTTCCGTCATGCTCACGCCAACCGCGATGAACTAGCTCATGAGCCTCGGCCCGGATTCCATCAGATCTTGGGAACAACTGTAAAAAGGTCTTCACCAACAACTACATGGCTACATGTAATCGGCCGGGCACCAAGCACGATCTGAATCGCATCTACTAGAAATCGTCCGAGCTCCTCCGTAGCTACATCAGGTGATTTTTTGAGATGAGGAATTCTATTCCCAACATCACGAAGCAGAAGTCATCACCGCCTTCGTCCAAGGACTCCATCACCGAGACCTTCGCTCCAAATTCAATCGCAAGCCACCAAAGGAGATTGGCGAGATGATCACGACAACCGCCGATCAGTACGCCGACACCGAAGAGGCCAAAGTTTGCTTCAATGAGGATGCAGGCACTCACCGCCCAGCTCGCCGCAGCGACGACCGCGGCCACCATCAGGATAGTGCCCGTGATCGGCCGGAGGGGTCCAAAGCTGGTCAATATCGCCGCCGCCGACCAGACCACATCATCGCCGCCGTTGACGAACCTCACGCCAAGCGCAACTACGACGAGCGGTACGAGAAGATCCTCGAAGGCCCATGCCCCCTCCACAAGAATAGCAAGATAAGATGAAGGACTGCCTTGGCTTGGCTAAGGAGTTTCAGACCAAAAAGAAGGATGATGACAACGACGACAAAGCCAGAGGTCACTAACCACCTAGGGACAACAACAACGCCTTACAAGATCACAACAAGGTGGTCCCACTATCTTTGGGGGCCTCACCGCCACCGAGAGTAGAAGAGATCGAAAGCTCACCGACTTCAACACCGCCTACCACGCCATACTTGGTCGACCAGCTCTGGCCAAGTTCATGGCCATACTGCACTATGCCTATCTAGTACTAAAGATGCCTTTGCCTGCTGGACTTCTGGCTCTACGGGCCAACCTCTCCATCGCCTACACCTGCGAAACAGAGAGTCTCGCCCTCGCCGAAGCCACCGACCTCTCCATCCAGATGGCTAGCATGGTTACCGATGCCAAGACGGTGCCCACCGACGACCTGGAGATCCCAGCGCTAGAACCTCCACGTGCCTCCGCCAAGTCCAAGGAAACGAAGGAGGTCGGCCTCAGCCTCGACGACCCCACCAAGACCGTCAAGATTGGGGCTCATCTTAACCCCAAATAGGAAAGCGCGCTCGTCTCCTTCCTACGTGCCAACGTCGACGTGTTTGCTTGGAAACCTACAGACATGCCAGGGGTAGCACTAGAGAAGATCGAGCACTCCTTGAATGTATCGCCGATCGCTAAGCCGATTAAGCAGAAACTCCGACGATTCACGCCAGATAAGGAGGCTATTAGGGTGGAAATAAAATGGCTCCTAGCTGCTGGATTTATTAAAGAAGTGTATCATCCTAAGTGGTTAGCAAATCTAGTTATTGTTCAAAAAAGAATAAAGAATGGAGAATGTGTGTTGATTACACTGGTCTCAACAAACACTGCTCTAAAGATCCCTTCAGTCTGCCTCGGATAGACGAGGTTGTAGACTCCACCACCGGCTACGAACTCCTCTCCTTCCTCGACTATTACTCTGGCTATCACCAGATATCTCTCAAAGAGGACGACTAGATCAAAACATCGTTCATCATGCCTTTCGGTGCGTATTGCTACACC